TGGGGGAGCACCAATCCTGTGCTGTGGGGGCTGATGGGATACCTGGGGGAGCACCAATCCTGTGCTGTGGGGGCTGATGGGATACCTGGGGGAGCCCCTCTCCACCGTCAATGGCGCTGATGGGATACTTCAAGGAGCTCCTGTCCAGCATCCACAGGGCTGGTGGGGTATCTGTGGGAGCCGCCCAGTGTGATCTCCGGGTCCGATGGGATTCATGGAGGAGATCCCAAGGATGCTCGCCACAAAGTGCCACGAGATGAGTGTTCCAGAATGATCACGCCTTCAGTTAAGCGCACAACTAAACAACTCATGTACTGTGGTTTTACTGCGTGAACTCTCTAGGAAAACTTGCCCAATTCGAGAGCTTGTGCACTACAGAGTGATCGGGAAGTAGGGCTGATTTTCAGAAGCAAATAGTAATTACCAAACGGTGTAATTAATTAGCATTTCTCTCACTACAAAATATGAGACGTGTGTTACTCTCCCGCTGCCATGAGAGTATAAAAACAGAATGTGGAAGCAGGGAGAGCCATGGGTTCACCATGTCCTTGTCACCTGTGCTGTGAAACACACCAGCCGTTCATGCTGAGAGTGCCACAGGGGCCCAGTGGGAGGGGAGCAATGCTTTTCTGGGGGGGTCTGCAGAACACCTGGGCACCAGGCGGCCTTTAGTTATCCCACCTCCCACGTCCGATCCCACTCGGTGCGCGATGAGGAGGCCTCATCATCCCATGGGTACCAGGGCCGTCCATTTGCAGCCTCAGGCTCCTGGGATTTTAGGAAACCTCAAATAGCTACAGAGGTGCACTGCAGCCACCTGAACGCGGCGAGCTGGAAGGCTGCTCTGAAAGGTCAGCAGGCAGAGAAGAGCTAATCGGCACCTGAACGCGGCGAGCTGGAAGGCTGCTCTGAAAGGTCAGCAAGCAGAGAAGAGCTAACCGGCACTTCCCATCAACATCGCCACACTGACTTCTCACACTTTCTAAAAAAATCTACATATCTTGAACCATGGATCAGAAACAGAACAAAGAAATAGCATCGGCCTTTCTGACTGCACTCCACAGAAACCGAGGCTGTTGGAGCGACACTGATGAGAAAACAGATTACATACCCGTTAGGGAGAGAGAACCCCTTTAAGGGAGAAATCAGACCTGGATTTTCTCCACAAGTCCGAGGAAACGGCATGAATGTGACCACATTCCTCCAATCAGCATGAACACTGATTCCTATTTCGGGAAAATGCCACAGAAGCCATGTTTGAGCGCCTCGCTCTGTAAATTTCATGGCTCTGTTCCTGTGGCCACAGCGACCGGGGGGAAAGTGCTTCTGATTTCATTAGTGTGGCTCACAAACATGGCAAGATATAGCTGGAGGTGTTGATAACCATATTTGTTCGTTGATTTATTCGCTATGGCCCTCTGAGCCGCAGTCACTGAACATTCGACATTAAGATCTGGTTCCCAGCCAGAACACAATCTCTTTTACGAAACATTAAGCAACGTAGAAAGCAGGCAACAAGACTAGCGGGACCGAAAACTGCTACTGAGGTTTAAAAGTAGGTCATTATGACAAAAATATATTAAATAAAACAAAAATGGGTACATTTTTTAAAAGACACAAGTAGACAGGGTAAAATGCTTTGATCATTTTGCTGCAGCCCTTGTCGTTATATTAAAGTAGTGATTATTTGATATTTAAAACTTGAAAAAGCTAGTATTATAACATACAGAAATACACAATACCAGAAAAGACCATCCGCAAAATTCATGGCCAGAGACAGTTTCACATACTGTTTAAAAACACCTGTTTTTTATTTGTCTCTATTTTAGCTGTTATTCACTTATAGGGAAAGGCCATGAGATAACGAAGTAATATATATAAGATATTGTAACAACCAAGAGAAGTG